GAGGGGTCTCCTCTCACTGTGTCCTCCTGTGGATGGAAAGGGCCAAGGATCTCTCCCTGCTCACTTCTGAGGACACTCATTCCATGCATGAAAACTCCTACATCATGATCTCAACTCCTTCCAAGGGCTTCCCCATCTAATAAAGAACACTGGGAATGGGAATTCAGTGTCCCAGGGTTAGGGCCTCATAGACTTCCCATTTTTAAATCATTGTTTTTCAGTGTTGAACTATTTATTCACTGGCAAACTCTCTCATGTTTGCCTTATCAATATTTAGCTCTTATTTCTGTTGTTTTATTTTCATTTATTCTTATAGTATTCTTTGCTTAGTCTTTTTCTTTAAGTTTGATAATTTTCTTTTGATTAAATAAGGTTATTTTTCAAAGAAAACTTTGTATCCAAATCACAAATGGAAAACCCAGAGGTTTGAAACAGAATCTCTGTTAAAATTAAGTCTATAATCCATGAAAATAAATCAAAGATTCCTATGTTATTAAGTTCTAGTTTAATATTTCCTTTTGAAACAAAGAGTGAAATGAGTAAGTAACAGGGATTTTCTTTGCTTTTTATTTTTATTTTTTTTTATTTTTATTTATTTTTTTTTTTTTTTGGTTTTTTCGAGACAGGGTTTCTCTGTGTAGCTTTGTGCCTTTCCTGGAACTCACTCTGTAGCCCAGGCTGGCCTTGAACTCACAGAGATCCGCCTGCCTCTGCCTCCCGAGTGCTGGGATTAAAGGCGTGCGCCACCACCGCCCGGCTTTTTCTTTGCTTTTTAAAGAAGAAAGAATTGAAATAATTTGTAAAAGTATCTGTTTTCGGTCTGTGTTGAGGTGAACTGAAAGTGCCAGTTCAATCCTGAGGTCCCCTCGCACGACTGACCTCGGGCACCCTTGGCTTTACCTTTAAATTCTGTCGTGGGTGTTTTGCTGGTTATTGAACCCATGGCCTTGAGCATGCCACCGAGCCACGCTGAAGCCTGAATGAAGCTCTTTGTGAACATGTAGAGTCACACTTAACATGACCACAGCCTTCTGTCCACCTCACATGCTTTTCCATCTTGATTCCTGAAATGATTGACAGTAGTCGGCATTAGACATGTGCGTGCAGTACTGGCACTGTATATGAGGCCTTTGCAAACTGGTATCCTTTAGCCTCACTGGATTGGCACTATTACCATGCCCTTGAGAACAGTGAGGGAAACTGAGGCACAGAGCATTTGGTAACTTGCCTGAGGTCATAACACTTGACCTAAGACTTTTGTAAAACTACCTTTTCCTCCCTGTGGTGCTGCCGTCCATCCCTGACCCTTAGAAAAGTTGTCACAACATAGCTGGGAAGCCTTCTCTTCCCCATGTCATAAGATGTAAACAAAACATAAGCTGTTTTTGGAGGATTATATATGCATGGGCATGCTGTGTGTCTGGTGAGAAATTCCATAAAATGAAAACTGAGATTAATGTTTCAGATTATGCAGTTCCCTAATTATACCTTCAATTATTCATGTAAAACAAGTAAAATGACCCCTGACAGAGGCATAAATGATTTAGGTAGAATCAAATATTCATGCGATGATGCCGAGTCCCTGGGTGTGTCCTAAAAAAATTTTTGCTTCCATCCTTCTGAAGCAAAAGTGTGTCTGTGGAATTCATAGCAGGCTGAGATAGCCTACAGTGTTTAAGACACTGCTGGACACATGCCTGTGTGTCTTGGCACTGGCATGAAGGTACACAGAGGTGTTGTAGAACACTTTAGGAGGTATTTTATAATAGTTTTGTATCCGCCAATTAATACCCATAAAACAGTGTGCTCAACTTTGTCGGGGTGTTCTGTGTAGCACTGATCGGTTGAAGAAAGAAGGCGCTCCAAGATGAAATTTTAAGGCCTATATGGCAGCAGGAAGGTCCAGCCTCTCTGATGGACTGAACCCAGAACAGCCATACAAAGACCTCTCTATTGATTGTTACACAAAGTTGTTTTTGGGGTAAAGTATTTCCTCATACCAAAGTCCCTAATCGAATCAGTATGTCTCTCTAAAGGAGAGCATCACATGCCCTCATGACTCTAGTCCTTTAACGTGCATCGTTTGCAATACACAATAATCAAGAGTCTCAGGTGTGCCAGAGGCATCCTGTGACCAAAGTCATGTGAAGGCCACAACACCCCTTCAGAAAAACAATTCTACAGATCACAGGAAACAATCACTGTTTTCCACAAGGATTCTTTACTGTTTACCACCAGGATTCTTCAAGGTCAACTACTTCTAGAAAACAGCTGTTCATTCTAATGTTTATCCCAGATACAGTGACTCTGCTAAAATTCCTACAATACAACTTCATAATAATTTTGATAATATTTTTCCACTTAGTGACAGGACATCTGCCCCTTTTAATATTTTTAAGTGGTTAAAACAAGCAGGGGCTAGAGAAAAGTTTCAGTTGGTTAAATGTTTGCCTCACAAGTATGGGGACCTGATTTTGGATCCCCCAGTACCTGTATAAAAGCCATGTGAGATGGTGTGTTCTTACAACCTCAGTGCTGGGAGACAGAGACCAAGAGGATTCAGGGCTCACTGGCCTTCAAGCCTAACCAGTCAGTGCGCTCCAGGTTCAGTGAGCAGATCTACCTCACAAAGTCAACTAAAGGGCTATTGAGGATGACACCCAACTTGGACCTCTGGCTTCTATGCTCATGTATATGTATACCCATATACACACATATATGCTCACAGGAAAGCACATGCGCGCATGTGCGCGCGTGCGCGCGCACACACATACACATACACACACACACACACACACACACACACACACTCAAAAGGAGAATAATACTTAGTGATGCATATAAATTACATTAAGTTCAGATTTCAATGTGATTAAATTACGTTTTTGTTCAAAGTAGTCTAGTTTGTTCATTTCCATATGGTCTCTTTCTTTTTCTAGTCTACCAAGTTTCCACCAGGGGCTCAGTGCTCTGCAAAGCCAAAAATATTTACAGTGGCCATTAAAGGGGAAAGTGTGCCGACCTCTGTTCTAAAGCACATCCCAAACAGCAACACTGGAACAATGCCATAGCTTGTTTAACTGGCACAAGAAAGGCTTGCTTTTACTCCATTTTATTCTTTAATGCATTGTCCCACTAATTGAACATTTACTGTGTATTTCTCAAAAGTTGGTGAACAAGTGCCTTTTGAAAGCAATAATAGGGGGATTTATGTGAGCAGGGCTCCTTCCCTTGCTTTTAATGCTTCCTTTCCATAGCAAAGCACTGAAACTAATTGCCCTGTTTCAGAAATGGGTCATTAGTCTAGTCCCTGTCTTTTATGTGGACCTAATTCTCATGCAGGATTCCCCTGTGAGGCTCTGACGGGGATCTTTTGGAAGAAGAGACAATGAGAACCTGAGTGCTTTCCCATGGCTTACACATACTTGCCTTTTGGTCCCTAGCCAGTCAGTGTATCGGTTGGCAACTGCCACGGATTTAGCAGCCAATAAGAATTTGTTAAATGAATGAATGATGGGGGTGGGGGAAAAGAGTGAGAATGTAGCAATTGTAAAACCCAAACTGTTTTGTATACTTAAAATAATCCCATTCCCCTTGAAAAAAACTAAAGTTTGTAGAAATAGAATTTAAATGGTTCTTGAGTTCTTGTTCTTGGGGTTCGAGGAAGAGAATTACATTTTTAATATTTGAGGTTTTCATTGGTCGAGGCCTGTATGTTGTGGATACACTCATGTATTATCATGAACTGAACATAATTTTCCTATGCTTGGAGTCAGAGGAAAGCAGTACAGGAAATACAATTATGGAGCAATATTTTAGTGAAGTGCTCATGATCAGGTTGTGCACTGCATTGCTGGGATGGCGAGTGCCTGAAGACAGCCGTCCACAGCTCGGACTGTCTGCCCACTGTTGTTGCCTCGCTCTGGGACCAGCCTCCCAAACCTTTTCCATGCTTGCTGCCCAACATTTGTTTATTTTGTTTTGTTTTTTTTTGGTCAAAGAAACATGTCTGTCACGTGTGGTATATTGTGTGTTTCTCATCTGATTTTAGACCTTGAATCCGAGGGCAGCCTCTGGAGTCAGTGCTTTAGAAGTATCTCACTTTCTAGAAACATCTCCATTTCCTTCTGTCCGTTAAATGGGTCAGAGATTCTGCACCCTCTCCCTGGGAATTGTCACCATTCAGAACTATTGTGTTAACTCTTTCCCTAGGAGGATGTAAACAAATTTCTGTCCCCTTCCTTCAAGGACATAAGTGACAAATCAGAATAAAGGCCCACCAGAGTCCAAATTGGGGGACTGATGCATTTATTAGGCTTATTCACAAAGCATGGAAGATGGGTCACTTGCAGGAATGTAGGTGACTCCCAAAAGCATGGATGAGGACTTCCCGGTAGTATGGATGAGGACTTCCCGGGAGTATGGATGAGGGCTTCCCGGGAGTATGGATGAGGACTTCCCGGTAGTATGGATGAGGACTTCCCGGTAGTATGGATGAGGACTTCCCGGTAGTATGGATGAGGACTTCCCGGTAGTTGTGCACAGGTGTAGTTCCCACCTCAGTTAAGCTTCATCCACTATGCTCCAGCACTCATGAAACCAGCCAGGGAGCCATGTGTCAGTAGGGCAAAATGACATAATAGTAGCTGGCTCAGGAGGGACTGGCTGGGATCCTCCCCTCCCTCTTCTTCTGTGAGGGAGCCCCCATGGCCAGCAAACCCAATCCCGGCTTCTCTCACAAGCAGCCACAGCCGTTCTGATGAAGGTGACGGCCGTTATGCTCAAAGGATAACACCACACCACAAGAACCGGGGCTCTCGGTGGCTTCAGTGCCCTCCTTTACTCAAACCCGTGGTCTTGAATTGTCTTACAGGTGTATGGGGAAGTTATTCACACCATGGTAAATCATGAACTCGGCTGAAGCAATAGAAGAACAAGCAAAAGAAAGTTAAGTTTGGGTTTGGAACTCACTCTTTTTCTTCTCTCTTCTCATTGGACAGTTGCCATCCTTCTGAAAGACGATTATTTTGTGAGTGGTGCTGGACTGCCTGGCAGATTCAAAGCTGAGAAGGTGGAGTTTCACTGGGGCCACAGCAATGGTTCAGCTGGCTCGGAACATAGTGTCAATGGCCGGAGGTTTCCTGTGGAGGTGAGAAAACTGGGGCCCCAGGGATTCCCGCTGTGGGTTACTGCAATCTTACTTCAGCGTTGTGCAGGTTAGACGGACATTCCCTGCTTTCCTCTCTCAGGAAACCCTGTGTCTCGAGCATGGCAGAGGGCCTCCCTTAAGGCTCATCTCTGCTCAGCAGGAGAGCACAAAGCGTCCACGAGCGGGCAGACTGACCTTTGCCTGCCCAGTGATGTCCCTCGGCTGTTCCCTTTGACACAGCTTCTCTTCTCCATTCCTCAAGCCCTCTTTTCTGAAGGTGACAGTTCATGTGATGCTGAGAAGACTGTTGTCACTCTTTAGAAAATGACAAGGCTGGTGACATGGAAAGGAGTCTCAGAACCCTCTCTGAGTTGTGTACTTCTTTGAACGGTTTGTTTTGGTCCCTGCCAGCTGTTGCGACAGAGGACGTGAGCATGGATGGTGTGAGTCTCTGTCGCCTTTTGTTAGGACTGACGGTGACACGGCTTCATTCCCTCAGCACTTAGAGTCCGTCTTTTCACAGAGCCAGGCCGGTGATGGGAAGGCCATGGGAGAGAGTTGAAAAGGAAGCCGTGACACCAGGGGTCCTCCAGCAGTGTCACCTCCACATCACGGGTGCTGTCAGCCTGTTTTGCTTTCCTTGTGCGATTGGATTTTGTTCCGTTGGGGAAACATGTGCCGATTGGCTTGTTCCCCATGTGCTAAGCCCGACAGGCTTGTGGCAGATCTCACTAGATCTGGTAGTAGTCTTTGGTTATACAAAACAGGGAGTCACTGTGGAGTGCTGGAATGTTTTAATCAAAGGAACCAGATGGCAGAGTATCATTGTCAGCTCTAAATGTTTCTCAATTGGTGTCCTGTTTTGATAGTCTGATAAATATTTCAGACCCTCTTCATAATGAAAATACATGTATTTCAGATTTATGTGTGATTTGTAAAGTGTTAGGTATATTACCTAGCTCCTCAAGCCTGTTTATGAACCCTCTAGGAATACTTGACACTTCTATGAGAACTTGTGTAAGTTGGGAAAGGTATTAATATCTCTTTTGTGGAGATTCTTTTGAGGATAAATGGGACGATGCATTCAATGCCAGCTTTTCCTACTGTATTCTCACAGCACAGACCACTTTAGATCCCGGAATATGTGAAGCTTCCACCCCAACTGTGTGTGAATAGTTCCGCTGGCTTCTCTTGAAATCTGTTCCTTTCCAATATTACCTCTGTGTGTAGATCCTGCAGAGCCCTGCGAAAGCCTCATTCCTACCAGACACTCCCTACTGCCTTCACAAGTTCCTGCCTGGGAGACTGTACATTATTAATTTTCTAGAATAGAACTTTAATTTCTCATAGAATTTAGAGAAACAGTTACATTTCACCAGTTTGTTGCAAATGAAATTTTAAAGGTTCTAGACAATATGTTAGAAAAAAAGATGTAGATAGAGTAGGTCTGGGATGATCCTGGCCATGGGAGCTTCTCATGTTGCCACGAATGAGTTCTTACTCAACCTTCCCATGAGCCTCTTCCTTTCCCATTTTCCAGAGATCTCCTAGCCCCACATCTGTGAGGAGTCTTTTTGGAGATTTCATCCAAGTGTGAACAGCATTAAAGAAGCGTGTACAGACATGTCTGAGCTCCTGCCACTAGCTTGAGCAGGACAACCTAGCAAGACCTGTTTCTTCAAATTCTTCTTGGGCCGGCTGTACCGTTCTTCCTGGATAGAGAGCAGGCCCTCCTAGTTAGATAACTAACCTCCTAGGGTTGGTTATCCTGTCAGACAAGGAAGCACAAAGAGTCTCCTTACAGGCAATTCCAAGACACAGTGTCAGGCAGAGTGGTGTTTTCAGACTGGCCTCGTAGGATTCTCATTTCTTTCCTCTAGAGAAGCATTCTTCAGCTTGTTGGAAGATCAGAAGCAAGAATTGTGGGTGAAAACATATACATACATGGATGCATATTCGCACACATTCATGCACACACTCACATGTATCCTAATGAATGTCCCCTACACTGATACACTCCCCTGGAGACACCAGAGATAGCTACTCTGAGAAGATGCTTCCTATTTCTCTCATTCATTTAATTTGCAGTACCAACATCTTCCCTGTGCACCCTTGTCTGTGGGACTTCCTCTCCTGGTCACATTAATGATATGATTCTGAGTAGGATTTAGACTTAATGGGCCTCCTGTCCTGTGAATGGGATGAGTCATTTTTTAGAAGTACTAGCACTTTTTATACATGGCAAACTTGCCTCCTAGAGTCAGACTCACATGGAGTTTGTAAGTGTGGTTTCCCCTCTGGTCTCCCCCCGCACCCTGCTTCCCATGGGCCCTGGAAGTTGAAGGGGTAGTTTGTGTCCTGCCAGGCAGGAAGTATAGATGGGACTAACAGAGAGGAGAACTGAGAGAACAGGAAGGCAGAGGGAGCCACTGCCAGCCGCCGCCATGACAAGCAGCATGTGAAGATGCCAGTAAGCCACGAGCCACGTGCCAAGGTATAGATTTATAGAAATGGATTAATTTAAGATGTAAGAACTAGATAGCTAGAAGCCTGAGCCATTAGGCCAAACAGTTTAAATAATATAAGCATCTGTGTGTTTATTTTATAAGTGGGTTGTCGGACTGCCGGGGCTTGGCGGGAGCTGGAGACAAAATCTCCAGCTACAATTGCTCAAAAGTTTGAAAACTTAATCTGTCTTGGAACAGCATGTCTGTGGAGCAGGAAGGGAGCTTGTGCCTCATCTGCAGTCTCGTTCTAGATCAGCGTGCAGCATAGATGGAATTTGCTTTTGAGGCCTATGAGTTCTGAAAACTGTTTCCCATTCTTTGAAGAATGTCACTGACTGCTGAAGCTCATAAGCTGTGCCCAGATTTACTCTGTGGTCAAGTTGCTGGGGTTCTTCGCTTTTGAGTGGCATCAGGTAGTAAGCCTGCCTGTATTAACTGGGTTCCTTATGCCCAGCTGGTTCATAGCTTGCTGTTATAAATTGTGACATGTTGATGTTCTTAGTGGTATATTTGGAGGTACTTAAATCTCAGGGATTAAAGGCAATTGGATCCAATTTAACTGTAAAATATGCACAGGAATGTTGCTCACTTCTGTCTCAAATGTGTCTATAAAATTTTGTGATAGCTTGCATTACTAAATCTCATTATTGACACCAGCTCTTCCTGGTGTTCTCTGCAGTGTTGGAACATCACAGAGTCAGCTTACTTCTTTCCATATTGAATGAAAAAAATTAGGATATGACTGCTCCTAGGTATTGGGTGAGGAGAAGGTTTATTGTAGACAAGAGGGAGAAAACAGCCAGAGGCATCTGGAAGGTCCAGTCTGAACATGGCCAGCAGACTTGGAGAGTGAGAGGAAGGACGACAGGATAGCGACCAGGAGCCAACAGGCTAGAGGTGAGCTAGGAGACCCGGAGAAAAAGAGACCAAGAGAGCATGTGGTTCAAGAGGACACTTAGCCAAAATGGCTGAATTATATAGGGGTAGGAAGCAGAACCCTAGCCCCAGGGAGGGACAGGTTTAGGATGGGGGGAGGGTGAGAAGTGCTAGGAGGGTAGAGGGGCTACAGGTACTGAGTGATGCTGGGAGAACTGGGGGGGAAGAGGGGCTACAGGTACTGAGTGATGCTGGGAGAACTGGGGGGGAAGAGGGGCTACAGGTACTCAGTGATGCTGGGAGAGCTGGGGGGCAGAGGGGCTACAGGTACTCAGTGATGCTGGGAGAACTGGGGGGGAAGAGGGGCTACAGGTACTCAGTGATGCTGGGAGAGCTGGGGGTGCAGAGGGGCTACAGGTACTGAGTGATGCTGGGAGAGCTGGGGGGGAAGAGGGGCTACAGGTACTGAGTGATGCTGGGAGAGCTGGGGGTGCAGAGGGGCTACAGGTACTGAGTGATGCTGGGAGAGCTGGGGGGGCAGAGGGGCTACAGGTACTGAGTGATGCTGGGGGGGCAGAGGGGCTACAGGTACTGAGTGATGCTGGGGGGGCAGAGGGGCTACAGGTACTGAGTGATGCTGGGAGAGCTGGGGGGGCAGAGGGGCTACAGGTACTGAGTGATGCTGGGAGAACTGGGGGGGCAGAGGGGCTACAGGTACTGAGTGATGCTGGGGGTGCAGAGGGGCTACAGGTACTGAGTGATGCTGGGAGAGCTGGGGGGGAAGAGGGGCTTCAGGTACTGAGTGATGCTGGGAGAGCTGGGGGGGCAGAGGGGCTACAGGTACTGAGTGATACAGGGAGAGCTGGGGGGGCAGAGGGGCTACAGGTACTGAGTGATGCTGGGAGAGCTGGGGGGGAAGAGGGGCTACAGGTACTGAGTGATGCTGGGAGAGGTGGGGGGGCAGAGGGCTACAGGTACTGAGTGATGCTGGGGGGGCAGAGGGGCTACAGGTACTGAGTGATGCTGGGGGGGCAGAGGGGCTACAGGTACTGAGTGATGCTGGGGGGGCAGAGGGCTACAGGTACTGAGTGATGCTGGGAGAGCTGGGGGGGCAGAGGGCTACAGGTACTGAGTGATGCTGGGGGGGCAGAGGGCCTACAGGTACTGAGTGATGCTGGGAGATCTAAGCAGTCTCCCCTTTGGTATGTTAATAGCACTCAGCCATTTGTGCAGGCTTTCTTTGAATTTTCTTGTATTTTAGAAAATTTGATCTGCATCTGGGGTATCATTTTTGTTTGTTTGTTTTTGTTTTGTTTTTTTGACACAGGGTTTCTCTGTGTAGCTTTGGAGCCTATCCTGGAACTCACTCTGGAGACCAGGCTGGTCTTGAACTCACAGAGATCTGCCTGCCTCTGCTTCCCAAGTGTTGGGATTAAAGGCGTGCGCCACCACCGGGCTGCGGGTATCATTTTTTTTTATGTGCCATGTATAAGTGACTCAGTGTTATTGGAATTATTAAGGTCAGAGCCTGGGCCCTGGCAGCCCTGATAAGGTGGTCATGTGTCCTCAAAGGGCCAGTTCAGCAAATTTGGGGAGGAGAACTGAGAGGCCCATTGA